CATGGGAGGGGGTGGCGGGGCAGGCGCCTACCACCTCCCTCTCCTTCCACATCCTCCTGGACAAAAATCCTGGCAATGCCTGTGATTGGCCTGTTGCTGTTCTGTAAAGTGAGGTGTGATGCAGGAGCCAATCATACTCCATCTGGCAGTTGGGTCTAGAAAAATTACGTCATGGATACAATTGCACTAAATGTACGGAAGTAAATGTGTACTCTCTTGCATTTAGAACAGTCCTACTGTAAATGGCAGGTTGTTATTATTGTTAATATTTAAATTCTTAGCTATCGCCTAAAGCAGTTTTGTAAAATCCAAAAATTAAATTCTTTGTGAAAATTTGGTGATTTTGTTTTGCTAACTTTGCACTGTGTAAAACGGTTGGTCTAACTTTGTTTTACTGCACTTTTTTCTTGGCTTTTTGTTTGTTGGTTAGTCAGAGAGAGATAACTTTGTAAGTGCTAAGAGTGGGAAAAATTGAAATGCATCATCCCCTTCAATCATTAGAGGGGTTGAGGGCTAGAAGGTTTGAAAACAATTGTAAGCCTTTTTTTAAATTGATTGCTGTTGCATTATGATAAGTTTCAGCGGGAACCAGTGGCGTTTTTCTTGAATGCTTCAAAAGCAAATTTTTGTATATTTACAAACTTTCAGGTTGCTCTGTCCATCATTATTACTTCATTTTTAGTCCTCTTTAGTGAATATCACAGAAGAGAACAGGAACCCCTCCCTAGGCTGAAACGATTCACTCCTTGCATAGCTTTAAGAGCATTTCATCATTTTGAGTTGGGAACTGGGTAAGCTACCTTCTTCGCTGATTAAGTCTTCTAGTGATAAATTAAGGGTAGTTGTCATGGAAATGGAATTTGATCAGATCTTTTGAAAGTTTAAGCATGCTCTTTCTACCTGAAAGGAAGCCATCTAAAATTACAGATGCTCTACAAAATGAAGAGGTCAGCATTATTCTGTAATAATTTAGAGCAGAAACCCTGCGCTGATGTGAGGGAGGTCAGGATGCTGTGGGAAACTCAGTTGCCATTTTTTTTTTAGAAATTGAAAGTGCCTGCATTTTTGTAACTTTCCAACCATCTTTCCTCGAGGAATGAGGATTCTTTTATGTGTGAACAAACTGCTCGAATTGATTTTTTTTGCAATTCATCTTGTTTGTTTTTGGGGGGAGGGGGTATCTTAATAAACTCACTAGCTTATTTGTGGAACTTTTTGGCCCTAAGATCATTCCAGACTGGTTTTACTGCTTTGCCTTAGATTAGAGACTGGAAAAGACTTTTTGCAGAATCAAGATTGCTAACTTTTGTGTACACTGCTGCATAAATGGCTTATAAATATTTAATTACCACTGTGAAGTAATGCTTATATAAAGTGTAGTGAACCTCAGTATTTTTATGATTAGATTGTTTTATTTGTAAAATACTATTTCACATGTAGGTTTTGTTAACATCTGATTTTGGCCTTTGTGATGAAATTATGCAGATGTACATGACTTTTTTTTCCTTTTTGGGGAAGGTCTTGCTTTGTTTCCCTGTTTGTGCATGTGTTTTATTTTTCTTGGTATTTTCTTCTAAGGCACAGATTTTTATTGGGTAGGGGAGCATGAATGAAGTCATCTGAGTTTTCAGCATTATCCTATGATTATTTGGAGCAGTAACCTTGCGTTGATTTTAGGATGGGTGGAATACTGTGGCGTAACCGCCCAGAACCATGGTTGACAATTTTTTTAAGGAATCGAAAGTGCCACATTTCCTTCGGGGATGAGGATTTTTTCACAGATGAGCAAACTTAATTTAATTAACAGACAGGGACATTCCACTTGGTTGTCTGTGAATTGAATTGTTCTTTCCATTGCACCAATTTGAACCCTTCATTATCTGAATAAATCTTGGCTAAGTGCCTGCGTCATCGAATTAAATTGCATCGTTCTAAGTACAAAGGTTTCTGCAGTAGAATTTTATCTTTTTTTCCATGCCGCCGTGTCATGCTTAGAGATACTAATGCACTGGCATCTGATCAGTGACCCACTAATCAGATGACAGGATTTATTTAATGGGTGCGTGAATGGGACTATGTCATGAAAGAAATTGTCTAATTTAATTTGTCTCTAATGGTTTGTTTTACTGCATTGTAGGACTTAGACTGTTGGGTTATTTTGCCTTGAGTGTTTTTCTTACCTTTGAATTGTAGGACGATTGTGGACGAAATATCTCTACTTAAAACTAGCTCGGTATTGTAAGTGGTTGTGACAAGTGAAAAGTTCTGGTCCTAGTTTTCTTTGTATTTAGTACAAGCAAACTTTGAGAAAATTGAAATCCCTTATTTCTGCAGTATGGCCACCTCTTGGGAAGTACTCGAGTAAATTGTAAAAGAAATCCAGTTTTTAATATAAAAACCAGAGAAATTTCTTCCTACACACCGACCTTATTTTTAGATGAAAGGTCGGGCTCAGTGAAAGGCATTGACAAAGGTCATCATCTTGATGAATGAACTAAGATTTTTCTCAAACATTTAGCATTGTATGAAGTAACATTTCGTCTTTGAGATCTGTTGCCATTGGCTACACCGTAAACTGCACGATTACTGCACGTCACAAAAGACCTTCGGTTGTTTTTGTTTTGTATATAAGTGAAACGGAAGGTGGGCCTCTAATTGATGGAAATCGTACTATGACGTGAATGTTAACGAGCACCATGGTTTATGAAGTATCAAGTGATATTATATCTGCAAGCTTTGTGTTGTCTTGGTCTCTAATGCATTGTGTTCCAATGTTATTTTCTTTCAACTGGGAATATATACAGTGTGTGTACTGGTTTTCTGTTTTTGCTGCGCAAGCCACGGTGAGGTTTTGAAGTACTCTAACTCTATACGTAAAAACAAAATCCTACGCTGTGAATGGTAATAATGTGTATAATTCCGTAAATACATTTTCCCACCCTTCAAAATGTGAAATATGATAATTTAAAGTTATTTCACGTAGGCGGATGTGGTAGACATACCTTTTAAATCATTTACATGTAAACTGAAATTACTGTTTATTGTGCAGACAGTGTGTTGTATGCAGGAAATGACAATAAAGAATATATTTTTGCACTCTCACATGAACAAGATCTGTATTGTGTTTCAACCCCGTTACAGAATAGATGAAAACTCTTTGAACATGCAGAATATTTGCCCAGGCCAGTGGCATTAAAATGTGCATACTTGATCAAGGGAGAATTCTAACCCAAGTCTTCACATCTGCTAGTGAAGGACAGATGTGTCTTGACCACGACCGAAAGCCGTTACCGAAACTGTCCCATCAGATTTAGCTGTGTGCATAGGTCATTAAAACGGTGAAGAAATCTCCGAGTCAGTAAGTGATGCTGATCGATGCGTCTAAAAATAAAGTAGTGAAAATATGCCGTCAAACGATAAGAGCAGATCTCAAGATATCCAGGAACAGGTGTTGAAGCACGAGCTAATTCGGAAACGGGACAAGTTCGTGTCACGATAATTTGTCGAACTGATAAGGGAAAAGGGTCACTCGGACACAGAGGTTTTCTTTAAGCATAAAGACACGGGAATGTTTCACATTCATGCAATGGTGGGAACAAGATTCGATGATACGTGTATTGGATGTTCCATTCCCCTCGGCTTCAGATTTTGGAAAATTATAATGTATAATATACAACTAAACAATGTTATTTGTATTAGTTTTTGGTTTATTACATTGGTGTGCACCTGTGCGATGTATACAGATGACTGGTTTTGCAAGTGGCTGGACGGGCAAAATGGAACGTTGTGGGCTTGCTGCTTCCTTTTGGAGGAGGTTGTCCCTGAGAGATTTCTGCAGTGATACTTGTACGTGTCGTTAGTGTACTCCCCACTGCTACTCTGTCTCTCTCTCTCAGCCCTTCGTGTTACTGAGAAATCTCGATACACGTCGATTTTTGTTGCCATAAAACAAAAACAAAAAAAGTGAGGGCGCAACGTCAGAAGCTATTAATGAGACAACTGTACAACAGACGAGATCTCGGGGAAAAAAATTCTCGGCGCCTCAGACGGTCACGTCCAAATCTAAGAGGATTGGCAAGACTAAGCCTGATACGTGAATCCCTACCGACAGCGTGCTTTTTTATTGCACAACTGTCTGGGGATGTACCATAGTATTCTTTCCTGTACGGAAAAATGCATGGTTCCAGAGAGGAGATTATTAGTCTTTGTGCCTCTTGGATTATAGAAGTGCCCCTGTTGAAATGTCGGACTTAACTTCAATTTGGGGAGAAAAATCGCGATTATAGCCTTTATTCAAGTCGGGTCCACCCTCCACCCCCCAAAAATAAAAACCTGTCGACAACAGGCGTAGCCATAACTCCAGGAGCCCGTTTCGGACGCGGTTGTAAATCGTTGATATGCCAAAACCAGCTCCCAGGAACATGCGCCCTCTATCCTTGTCTCCGCAATAGCTATACATCGCTCCAACAGCTGCGATCATCGTGTGCCCGGCGCCCATACCCTCTCATAACAGACAGTCGCTTTCAATACTTGTAGCATGACCACTGCGTCTGTTGCCCCGAGGACACTTAACATGCCTCAAATATTGACATTTCCCTCCAAACACAAAACCAAGCTGCATTTCAGCGGTGCATCTCGTCAGCTCATGAACAAACGCCCGCATACACGCTGCGCCTCGAATTAAACATTATAATTCGATAAGCATAAAACACATCCCACGCATCTGACATTAAACTTACAAGTGTTAGACACGTTACTTCAGCCTAAGTTCCTGTCACTTTCCAGCCTTCAAATATTTTATTTCAACGT